AGAGAGAGAGAGAGAATGAAATATCGTTGTTGTTTCTGCTAGAAAATATATCTTTAAAAGCTTTAGTTGGAAACTTTGGAGTATGCTTCCGAGAAAATTAGTACATTTTACTCATCTTTTCATACTCTTTCGAATGATGTAATTATTATTGAGTCAGCATGAGATCGAAAATTTCGAAGCAGTTGATATGTTTTATTTGTCTATTTTCATATAATTTTAAAGCAGTAAAAATAAGTATTTAATATAAAGTTTGTAGAGCACTTATATTAATAATAGATGTAAATAAATGTGTAAAAGAAAAAAAAAACATTTACTACTCGAAAACAGATAATCGTATAATTTCTCTGTCATGTACATAAATTGAGATAGTTACAGAAAAATAATTTCAAAATAAGAGAGAATGAAAAGAAGAAAAATCCTTCGTACGAATCGATCAAGAAAAAGACATTGGGAAGAATCCAGGTTGCAAAGTACTAGCCGGTTCCAGCAGAAGATCACTAGAAATCAGCGAAACATGAAGCAGTATTCCGACCGGAAATTTTTCGGGCCTTTTCTCGGTGAATTCGAGACAATTCCGGTTCTTTTGGGCAGGAGCCGGTCGGAAGTCATCCGAAAAAAGTCCGACAATTTTCTGACCAGAATACTGCTTCCATGTGCCATTAATTTCTGGTGTTTTCCTGCAGGAACCGGCGATTTTTTCGCGTCTTTCTTGCCGATTCCTGCAGTATCCAGTGACCGAAACGATCGACCTGGGAAAAGGTGAACAAATCAGTTGTTGGAAAATATAAAATGGAATATATTCAGAAGTTTGAAGAATGAAAGATATACATCTGAAAATAAAGATATACTAGTAGGCAGCGATGATAGGCAGAAAAAATTTAATCAAGAAATAAACAACCAAACATAGATAATAATAGATATTGCATAAAAATTCGTCATAAACATATATGTATGTTTGTGTTATCGATACAATGTGACTGTGAAGTTTGATGAAGTAATAATGTTGTTGATTTGTTTGATACATTATTTTTTTTCTAGATGCTGTTGCAGTATCAGCACCATAGGAAAAAGCAGATATTCTACTGGTTTGCATTATTGACTTGATTTATTGCTTTTTTGAATTTGAATTTGATACTTTTTATTTTAATCTAATTTAATTGCAGATGATGTGTCCTCATTCTATTATTTATCAAAAACTTGTGTCAAGTCTTCTTTAGAATAGCTTACTCTTTTTATATTTCAACACTACATCGATATATAGCATATAAGCATATGAATAATTGAGAATTAATAAGATTCTAATTCAATAGAATCATATAATTCGAAACTAATGGAAGTTCTAATGGATTATAAGTTTATTTCAATTGAACGTTCTTGTAATTGTATTTTATCTAAACAAAATACTTAGGGCTATTCAAAAGTGGTGGCAGATGTACTGCAGTTTTCTATAAAAAGCTTGAAGAAACTTTTTCTCAATATGAACTGATAGTAAAAATGACACTCTATCTTTCTGTGCTATTACATTATTCATCAGGTAATATCATAATAATAAAATTTGTATAACACCTATTTTTCTGTCATATCTGACGATTATACTAATGCCTGTTTGAAAAAAAAAGGCAGAGTAGGTATATTTTGAATAAATTCTAATAGAAACAAGATAGAGAGTTTCAACTTTGATCGTTCGAAAGAGAAGACAAAGATGTATCGATTCGTATATTATATGTTTTTCTAG